TGGCTGGTTTAAAGCTGACTCTAAAGTGGGAATAAATACTGCATATGGGACTGGCCTGCTTCTATTGTACAGCCTATTTCAGCTTGTGTAGGCTTATATGTGCTTAGACAATTTCTACAGGAACCCATATTGCAAAGCTGTCAATATTAGAGGAGCTCAGCACTACAGATTTACTGCCTTCCATGATAACCTGATTTAGTTCAGGCTGTATGGTCTCTTGTCATGGGGTGAAAAAGGAAGGTGGAATAAATCACTTTTACAATTAGATAGTTCACTGAGGTTTTCCAGTACGTTCCTAGTCACCCTCTCCTGAAGGTCACATTATCTTCACATGACTTAAAGGAGGACATCCTATCAGGTTCACATATGAAACTGAATTGGCATATATTTACAGCAAGAAAGGAAACCATATGAATACCAGCAAATCACACACACATGCACAAATATGTATGACCTTAAATCTGTAGATACACAAAATACACTTATATGCATATGTATGTAGAGCACCTCCTCTTTTCCTCCAAGTTACATTTATAAAGTAGGGAGACCAACAGATTCTCTTGCTCGTGTTGAAATCCCTGTTCAACAGTTGCCCCTCGAGCACCCTGGAAGAAGCAAGCTGCATCATTCGGATGAGCAGATTCTAAAGTATTCCAGCAGAAGAAAGCCTCACACTCAATGATTCCGATACAAAACTTCAGGCTGGTTGAGAGTCTCAGTTCCAGTATAAGTTTGATTAAGTTGAACATGCATGACGCAGAGATAGTAATCTTCTGTCATACACTTACGTTCAGAGGGTTAGTCACCAGGAATAAAGCAGTGAGGAATTAAGTAAGGTGGGGTAATACAACTATAGTGACCTATGGAACAGAAGGGTGTGGAACACTAAATGGGAAAGAATAACTCCTGTCATAATGACAATATTTTTAATAATATATATTCAATGAAAAATAAACTATTAGAGAGAGAGTCAAATACTTCCAATTAATGGAAGTAATGTAATGTTCACACTTAAATAAAGTATTTTTCCCTTGATGGTTTTACTGTACTATTTTATTTAGCTTAATGCAATTTAAATTACAAACAGAATGGTTTTGTAAGCCCCCAGAGAAATGTATTTTATTTATAATGTATTTCCTTTGAAGTGGTTATGAAAATCATGCTCTTCCTGAAGTCAGTATCTCACATACCAGTCAGTATCGCACATACTGCTGCGAACTAGTCAGTCCTCACAAGTTAAACATGATCAGTCTGGTGAAGTGCGTGACAAGAAAACACAAGAATTTTTTTTGAAATGCCAGAGGAAACAAATTTCTAATTCAAAAAACTAATAGTCTTCCCTCTGAAAAAAAGGTATTGAAAAATCTTTGATGATACTTTTTCAGATGGACTGGAACTCGGCCATAATCACTCCACTTGAGTTTTTAACTCATGTAATGAAAGAATTGTTTACAAATTACCGTAGAGGGAGTTTCAGCTGACAGCAATTATATTTTGCATACTTAAATTTAAATATGTAAATATTTCCATCTTTCATTTGAATCACAAATCTTTAAAAAAATTAATTCTAGTATAAAAAGTACACTTAACTTTCAGGATGCAAATTACACATGACCAGTTTGTGTCACCTTTTTTCCTCTAAGTAATTGAAATAGTCTCATTATAAATAAATAGCAACTATGAATGAATAAATTTAACCCAGTCTAGGTGCTCCTCTCACAATCAATTGGTACCGCAAAGACTCAGTTAAATAACTAGAGCCAAAGAGGAAATTGTCTCTAGCAAATTAATTTTGACTATTAATCACCTTTTAAAGCGTACTATATCCTATCCTCATGGATGAACCATTAACTCAACATGACAGCCACATATATACAATGGTCTAAGCTGTGATGCTTCTCCTGAAATAATGTCAAGCCAAATTACTTCAAAGAGACTAGGCAAGTAAGCACTGTAAGCTTTGGCTGATTGTGCAACTGCTTAGAGCATGAGCTCATGACAGCCCTAGTCACAAATTACATATGCTTTGAATAGGTTATTCTTTCTGTCAAAGCTACACTTCTGCTACTCTTGCCGCTAAGCAAAATGATGCTGCTTCTTTTGACTAATGTATATAACCTATTACTAAGATCTATAAGGAAATAAAAATACAAGTTCTCATTAGCATCAGATAAAGAGCTTGGATTATTTTTCCAGGGATAATTTTTAGGAACAATATTTCTGTGTCACTACTCTGTAAAACAAACATGAATGTAGTTAAACTTCTGATTGAGTTGCCAGATTTTATCAATACCACAGTTTCAGGTAGACATTTAAATCCAGAAAAGTATTTTTAAGCACATTTATGACTATATGAAACAAATATGAATAAATTTCAACATATTAATACCTTCTGAGGTTTGTCTAAGAACAGACATTTCCTCTGGCTCTTCTTAGATCAGACTTTATCTAGTTCACACTTGAAAATTACACCAATTGTGTTAGAATTTGTGCTTTAGAAAGCTGACCTGTACCACAAACTTTACAGACATCTATACTTTGCTAAAAGTCACTAGAGCACAAGCACTACTTGCGTTAAATGCATGTCATAGTGATCCTTGCATTTGAGGCAAGATTTCAAGATTCTGACAGCGTAAACAGCCTAATTAATGTACCTTTGCTAAGCAAAATGATGCTGCTCTTCTTGATTAATGTAAATATGAAGATGCACTGACAAATTCTGCTTAATGTGCTCTACATTTCTGCGCAGTAAAGCACATTATTTTATTATTTTGGTACATATAATCCCTTAAGAGGTGGCATGACAAGTACTGTAAATCTAAAGCAATCCATTACATTTATTTGCATGAATTGCTTTGTTGTTTTAAACTTAGTATTTGTGGCTTTTCTGAAAATGGATTACTTGGTTTGGTGCTTTAACCCTTTATTTTTGCTCACTGTTTTTCCATTGTCACATCAGAGTCTAAGTGATAAATAATGCATGTTTATACAGACAGAGTGAGCTGTGGACTATAACAAAATTTGCAGAAATTAGTTCTATGAATTCAGGTATTTTCTTTGTTACTTTCCTTTTAGACTAAAACTGAGTACAGTTTAATTCCAGTTCCTTTGGGGTACTCTGAATTTTGGCACCGACTAAAATATTTCCTGCCACCGAGTAGTTATGCCACTGATACCAACAGAAAAGCCTCCTCAGACTCTCTATCCTCTCCAGCATAATAAATGTCTTTTGGGATTGTTTTCCTGGCCATCAGCTACAACTGGGAGAGATTTTGGATACTCACAACAGGGAACATGAATGTCCTCTCCAATCTAGAGCCAGCAACCCACTAAAATTGTGACTATGTAAATTCAACTACAAAACAATAAAGTGTTTTCAGTAGTTTATTCATAGAAAATCCGTAATCTGAAACAAACAAAAAAAAAATCAAAGCCAACAGCAACAAAAACCCCAACACAAAACAAAAATAAAAGGCCAACGTAAACCTTTCACTTCATACAAAACAACCTGAATAAAGTGTCTAGATAAAGTTGGAATATGGTCAACTTAACATGAAAGGCAAAACCAACTGTAACTGAATACGGCCAGCTGTGTAACAGTGTGCAAGATGCCATGTCCTAATTTCAGGAGATGAAAGCAGGGGTAAGCATCATTTCAGGATTCATCTGAGGTACCTAATGTTAGCTTTGAAGCCATAAAAATTAAGGTTGGACCAGATGATCCCTGGGGTCCCTTCCAACCTGGTATTCTATAATTCAGCCAGTATGCTATCAAAATGCTTTCATGAGGTGACTTGGATAGAAACTTTCTCCAGACAGAACCAAGCAACTGAACTATCAAGGCACTCTAGCAAATCACCATAAACTGTCAGTGCCACAGTCCTTAAAGCAAAATGTGAAAAGAGCTGTTTTCTGTGTAAGGAGAGCATGCCAGCAAGTGTAAACACAGTCCATTTAAGCCACTGCCACATATCCATGTTTACAGTTCATTTCCACAAAATCAGAAATGCAAACCAACGTGGAAAAATGTGTAAGGAACATAAATGAAACACCAACTATAATGTAGGCATAAACACTGCAGCCTACCAATCCATGTAAATTATTTTAAATGCCAGTGCAACTGAGACATAAACCTGCAAAATGTACAGGGGAGAAAGCAGTCAAGTGATAATGAATACTGGCAATTTAATCAGAACAATTTAGTTCTTTGCCTAGGTTTACTCTCGCAGAGGGAGATGACTCATTAAAACTAAACCCAACTAGCATATAAAAAACAGAAGGGAAAACACACTTCTCAAAGTATTGAATTTAAACTGTTGGATTCTCTCCTCTACTAGAGCAAGACTGAATTATTCTGAAGGGAAATCCTAGAGGTGGAATATCGGCTACATTTTACATTTTGTCTGAAACTCACAGAAAACTTAAAGGTTCATGCAGAAGCTCAAGATGATCAACAAAAATAACCTGAAGGAATCTTTCCCCTGATTACCAACACCAGGATACTGCTCTACTCTTCTTAAGTCAAACATAGAGGTTCACTCACATAAACCTGTTCAGCCTAAGCTTTTACACTTGCTAGCTCTTATTCTGCTACCTACGCAGCTCTAATTACAAGAAGCTCAAGGTTTGCCAGCTGCAACTGCTTGAGAATTTATTCAGTTTCTCTGCTGGGTTTTGTGCCTATACTGAAATTTGCACCATTACAGCTCTATTAAGGCCTACAGAAATGATAGGCATCACAGCACCTACAACTACTTAAAGTAGATGTGGCAAGAAGACCAAACACATTGTGACATACGATGGTCTACAGCTGTGTGCGTCTGTTGATGGTAAAACACACTGCAAAGTTGGAAGACCTTAAATGATTTTGTAGCCCATAAATTTCAAAATACCGGACTTCACAAAGTGAGTACTGTTGGCAGTAATCAGCTATTTCCAGATACATTGAGTACTTGTAAAGATATAATGTGAATATATATGTTTCTTTGAATTTTACCTACATGGTCCTGTGAGGAACATCAAAGCAGCTAGTTGGATCAGGCACTGTGCAGTTCTGTGAACTCCTCTTTTGGAAACAAAACTGGTAATGTGTCAGCATGTAGGCTGTGAACAAAACAGAAGACAGAAGAATAATTATTAAAAGAGATTACATACACATGGGGGAGGCACAGATATATAAGCCAGAAGTCCCCTCTGGTACCAAAAGAAGACATAAATCTATTAATACGTTCATTGCTGAATAGTTGTTTTTTTTTTCCTTATTTAAATCTTAAGAGTCCTAGCTGAAAATAGAACAATTCACACACAGATCCAGAGCAATGGTAATAAGACAGTACTGACAAGCCTGTGGGCTGCTCATAGCTACCCCCAAAGTGCTATGTATGATCACAGTATTTTCAGCTGGTTTTTAAACCCAGAGACCAAACTGGAGTGAAGGTAACAGTTTCTCCAAGACAGCACAAACAAGTCTGCGCTCAGTCAGAACAGGAGCTTGGCTGGGTTATGCCTGGAAATTGGCACCTCTAGGCACAGAGAGAGGTGAGATGCTCAGCCTGTCTGGACCCCAGGAGCAGCCTGACACAGGCACAGAGCTAAGAACTAGGCTCTCCTTTTCTCTCCCAGTTATGCAGTCTCTCAAGCTATCCAATTTAGAAGGCTGGTTTGGGATATTTTTATTTAAAAAGAACTGTAAAAACCTAGAAAACTAACTCCCCTAATGTTTTCCATTATATTTACAGCTGCATTTAATATACTGTTGCTTTTAAAAGTTGACACAACTGCAGATGAAGCAAAAATATCAATAGTTGAAACCTAAACAACAAACTCTGCTCTGCAAAAGTTGTAAATTCCTGAAGTCAGAAGTATAGGATTAGCCACTGACTACCATGTTCCATTTCATCATATGTAATCAGTGCCAAGTAGAACCATGTGCCATTATTATGCCCTTTACAGCATGCCACTGCAGCCTAAGGCTGCAAGACCCTTTTGAATAACTTAAACACAGAAGAGTGATTCTGAATCCACAGATGCTCAACATGTTTGCTCAGTATCTCAGATTTACCAGCATGACAAGGGATTTCACTCCCAGGTGTTATAAAAAGGAAGCAGCATACCAGAGAGAGAACACACTGGCAATGCTGGATGAAAAAGGGAACAAAACCCCCAGTCAAACCCAACAGCAACAAGGCTGAGATCAATAACAGTCAAGACTGAAACTACATTCCAGTCCATTTTCAGAATGGAAGAAAATACACATTTAGTAGCCATGTACACTTCTGCACACCAACACAGCACTTCTAACACAGCTCTGATATGCCATTAATCTCATTAATCAAGAAGTGCAACATGACAGAGTGGAATCTGAACACTGCAGCAATGCAGAAGTGAATCCATACTTTGGCAATTCACTCAGTTTTAAAACTGAATGTACTGATTATTGTGTAAATGGGGTTTAAGTGGAACTCTTATATACCATCACCCACGAAACAACAACGAGGATTACACCTAAAAGCACTAAAAAACACTTAAAAAAAATTTGTTCAATTACTTTTTTATAGAGAAAGTATAAAGGATGAAAAGTATCTTTTTAGTCAGTTGAGACTTCATTTAGTTGAGGAATTATAGTTTCTGACAATTAAAACTGGAATTTTAATAATGCTTAATAATTTCCCTCTCATCAAGTTATTATGTTTTTAGTCAGCAATAAACTAATTCATTATTAAGTTACCTTTTCAAGCTATTCTCACGGAAGAAATTTCTTCCCAGTAATTTTCTACTATATTTTAATTTTATGCCATTACTGTCAAGAATCCAGTTTAACTCCCCTAACTAGGCAGGTTGTGACTCAGAGCTTTGGAATTCATTGCCCTAATTTATGATAAACTAAGACTCCTCAAATAAGCTTGCGCTGTTTGCATATTCAGCTACAAAACTAACAAACTCTATTCTTTATGAAAAGCTATCAAAAGCATCTAATGATTCAGCTTATACAGACTTGCATCATGAAGTAGATTTCTCACTGCTGGAAATAAATTTCACAGGTAAAAACTTCACACATAATAAGGTGGGTATTTCACCTGAGCGTTTATCACTGGTTAAAGGTGATCTCATGGGTCTTCTTTTTTATAAATGAACTTTGGGCAATTTTTATCTTGAGGAAATAAAAGGTCTCAAAAATTGGAGAGATTTCATTACATATTTGTATTTCCTTGCCTAAATAAGCTATTAAAAATAAATCAGCGCTACTACCCATCATGTTTATCATTCTCAAAAATACCCATAGGTGTATCCATACAGGCAGAAGGAACTTTAATAGTTTCATAGATATCATTCTGATGACTTTAAGAAAAAAAGGCATATCACAGTATCAGCCCTGCAGCCTATATTTCCAGTGGACTTTAAAGGGCAGAAAAATCTTTTGATTCTTGAGCTTCATGTATAAAAAGGTCTGCCAACTGAAAGAGTTATTTTTGTTTTGTACTTCTTTCACTGGACCTCATTAGAAGAGGTTAGAACCACTTTGGACCACTAAATGATCAAAGCTGGATGGAAAGAGATTGCAGCTGCAATTTTTATACAGTTGAAAAACACCTTTCCACTGATAGGAAAACATTCCACACCCAGTTCAGAACAGAATTTCTTGCTGGGTACAGTTTTTTGTTGTTGTTTATTTATTTTCACATTATTAGAGTTTGCTGTTTTTATAAAAAGCTTTTTTATTAAAAAGGGGCTTTTTAATAAAAAGTTTATTAAAAAAGCTCAATATTAGCTCCATGTTTGTTATGGAAGTAGGCTGTAAAATTATTAGCTGCTTGATGGGCTCAGAGATCTCACTGCAACCACTGGCTACTAGCAGTCCCTTAAAATGAAATCCAAAATGACAGGATCATCTTCTCTATCCCTAGCCCAATGAACATGTTAATATTATATTTCACATTGAACTGCTTCAAAAGGCTATATTAATGAAGAACAGTTCTGGAATATCTTATAAATTAGACAGAAGAAGGAGGCATAAGCTTATTCTATCAATTTGGATGTGAAAGACAAATTGATATCCTGTGTCTGTTCTAAATATTACCTATATAGATAAATTCTTCCTATATTCTGCAAAGGTTAACTAAGTCCCCACTGAACTGGATCACCTTTTGCATTTCTGAGGTTGTAGAAGAAATTCCGTAAGACCAAAATGAAAGGACAAACTACAGTTCATTCAATCTGCCTGACTTTTATTTTCTGAGGGTGTCTGAAAACCGTAATTTTATGCCCCTTTCATCCAGTGTAACTGAGCTAAAAAAATTAATTATTAGCATCCTGAATTTAGACAGTGTTCTCAATGAAGAGCTGTCAATTCATAGTACTAACTTAGTCAAAACTGTTCCAGCTGCTGAATAACTAGAAGGCTTCATTTTGTTTTGATGTTCTGAGGAGTATGGTAAAACAAAACCCAGACATTTCAGGTATAATTTTAATTTGGCAGCCTTGTAGCTCAAAAAATGTTAATTCTAGATTTATCACATTTGTTTCACTCCAGAATATTGTCTTCAGCATCTTATTGCCAAAGTTGAGTGGCTATTTTGAAACATTCAGTTGAATCTGCTCAGCAGAAAAGTGTTAAACTCAGTTCAGTTTATGTACAAAGCATCTCGAAAGTGCAATACAGTGAATATTATCAGTAGCACAAGCAGGAAAAAAAAAGCATCAGAAAAAACAACTACTTTTTAAAATTTGAGAACATTTTAGAATCTTAGATTTTGAGTCTTTTGGGTGTTTATTAATGTCTAACTTCTAGCAACTCTGTTTTTAAGAAAACAATAAAAAACCCCAACAAGCCAAAACCCAAAAAACCCAAGTTTGTTAAGCGACATGTGTAATTTTACATGACACTGCAAGATAATCATGCCTAAACAGACCAAACCAGAAAGCTCTCTATTTGGTATACAGTTATCAGAGCATTAATCATTTCAGCACTGGTCCGATGTAACTGTAGGTATCTTTACAGTTACGGGCATCTGCTCCTAAGTTGTACAGACTCTGCACAGTCAACAAAGGAAAAGCTGCCACATCAAAGGGCCATTCAACAGAGCTGTTGTATTTTAGTTGTTGGCTCTAGGATGAGATGAAGTAAGCCTTAGGAATATTTCACGTCCCCCATCCATTATGTAGCACATTTAAATTTGGTTTGACGAATCCCATCCCGAGTGTTCAGTTGTCATGGTCATAAATCGGTATTTGTAGTAACTGTTTTTACAAATCCCTTTCATCTACTGTTTAGTCTATAAATATTCTGATACATCCAGCCAGTTAGAGTGAGATTAGGCTCCACTATATATATATATATATCGGTATCTTTTTTTCCATGTATATATATATATATACACACATGGAAAAAAAGAAACAACACATACCCCTTCTCATGGAAGACAACCTTATCTAAAAGATGTCCTGAGTACATACCATTCTGGTTCTTCCACAGAGAGTTTCACTACCAACAGTTACTGAAAATTTTTAAAATATTCATGACCTCCTTACTCATGAAATATTAGAAATTTCAATATTTCAGGAAATATTTGGATGAGACTTATGTACAAAAAGTATGTGTCTGGTATGTTAAATCTGAGAGAGTAGGGAAGCCTAAGGTTCTGAATTATCATATGAGGCAGTTGAACAAGCTGTAATATGCTGCTTTATCAGTTAGAAGCAGATGGACTTTCCTGAAAAGGGATGATAAAACTGTTAATGGAAATATTCACTAGGGCACACAGGTAGGAAGTGTCCCATAATATGGTCTTTCTTAACTGTGCCTCCTAGGCAATAGAGGAAAATCTCAGCAATCATGAATTTCTTTCTAAACTCTATTTTTTGTCAGACGTACACAACATCGTCTTAATGAAACTCCTGATGAGAAATTATGGGATTAATGAAGATGTTTATATGCACAGAGAAGAAATAAACTGTTGGCAAGAGATGCAATAATCTCCCACACTCACCTACCAAAATCCATTCTTCTGCAACAAAATAAAACTAACAGTATGTATATGAAAAACCTAGCCACTGTCTGGGTTCATTTAGGGAGTTGTTTGTCATGCAGCACTTATATTCAAACA